CCAGCAACATGCAAGCCAGTACAGTATGACCACCTGAACAGATGAGTGATCGAATCTGGACATAGTTTGTATTCAAAGAAGTATGGTGTCATATGGAGTGTCCCTGGTGGCATGGTGGCTAAAGCATCTAGCTGGTAACCCAAAGGTGGGTGGTTCCAAGCCAGCAGGCACTCTTCTAGAGAAAGATATGACAGTGTGATTCTGTAAAGATTTACCACCTTGGAAAACCCTACGGGTTCAGCTCTGCTCCCTATAGGGTTGCTATGCATTGAAAACAACGTGATGGCATTGGGTTTGGTTTTGGTTTGGGATATGTCTTGGCTAAAGAAGGAATTAAGTTCCCTGTGTTGCTTTAAGCACATGTGTGGTGCTGTGTGTAGGACTGAGAATGTTATTGTTACCTGCTGTTGAGTTGACACCCCCTGTAAAACATAATGAAATACAAGGGGTTCAAAAACTTCATGGAAAGTAGCATTAAAAGATAATGGAATGTTCCATGAACTTTTTGAAGCCCCCGTATACTTTTGATTCTGCATCATTCTGGTGATCCCCTGCATATTTAAGTCCATCATTGTAGCTATTGTATTGTTCATGTAACTGAAGGGCTCCTTCTGCATCCATGACTTTCTCCTTCACAAAACACAAAGTCTCCTCCAGCAATTGGTTCCTTCTGATGGCACACCCAAAGCAAGCCAATCAGACAATATCCATAAGGTTGTCATTGGCTAATTTTCAGAAGTAGACCACCAGACCTAATCTGTCTTAGTTTGGTAGCTCTCCTGAAACCTGTCCATTATGGCTGGGTGACCTTGCTATTATTGAAATACTGGTGGCACGGCTTCCAACATCACAGCAACATACAAGCCACAGATGGGTGGTGTCATTCTGAGAATAAGTCTTTGAAGAAGACATCAGCAAACAATGAAGCAGCAAATGGAGTAGGATATAGGAAGGTACATGAACTATTAATCTTAAGCATTGAGACTTTAAAGGAACAAGGTAGATGCTTTCAAGGATTTGTAGAAGAGAATGGATGTGCCCTGCCTGCTCACACTGGAGTAGCCAGGCATAATAGCAAAGAGGCTAGGAGTATGTGTTTGACACTCAGACAGACCTAATCTAGTCTGACTGCCACTTCCTGAGAAAGTTCCTTAACCATAGTGTGACAAAAGGATTAGAATAGTGCTTTTCTCAGAGAGTGTTAACAGAATGCTGTAGCAGAGCTCAGAAAGTATCCACTATTTTTAAGTCAACTTGGATTGACCAGAATTTAATGGTTTGGAATGTACCACAAGGGACTCCACTGTCTTAAAAAATAGTGATCCTCTGCCCCCTCCACCCCTTCCATTTCCTGTGGAAGTTCATTTGTTATATTCTCTGTGTTGGTCTCCATAGAACTCCCTGACTTCTAAGCTAGGTGCTGCAATTCCTTGTAGCTGTGCAAAGCCAGGAGCCTTAAACCTTGCTCATTGCACGAAATCAGCATCACAAGTACATTTCTAAGCTGCAGAGAATAAAGTGTAGGAAAAGGAGTGTGCACTCAGCCTTAGGAAGAGGGAAAGCAGGAGGACCTGTCACACGCTCTGTTAATTTGTTGTTGTTATGAAGTGCCATTGAGTCAGCTCCGGCCCATAACAACCCTCCAAGGAGCGGCTGGTGAACTTGAACCGCCGAACTTACAGTCCAGCGCATTAACCTACAGTGCCACACCCCCATGATATGGGCTAAACCGGAGTTGGCAGAGGCCTGAGGCCATCAGATGCTGACCCCTGCCTCTCAAGTTGACCTGCTTGCTTCTGCCCTCAGCCTCCACCATCTACCCTGGTCCTGGGCCACCTCGCTTTGCGGAGTGATAGCCTCAGACATTTCTTTACAAGCCCCCATTCTCTTCTACTTGTCAGGTGGCTCAGAATGAATGTTAAGCTAGTGAAGATGAAGAACTTTCCTGGAGATAACCTCCATTTGATAGGATGTCTCAACTTAAATATTTGACATTGTATTTAAAGGTTTTCTTTGGATTCGTTTTTGCCCTATTAGAAGGAAAGGGTCACACTTCAGAAAGATATACTCAATTACTCTTTTCCACAAAGTGTTGGATTCTGTACACCACTCACAGTTGGGAATCAGAATTTTGTGAGGATTGAGAGCCAGATTTTCTGGGTTTGAAATCTGTTCCCGTTATTTATTAGTTGTGTGTCTTTAGGCAAGTGATAGTGATGTAACTTCCTTCAGCCTCAGCTTTCTCATCTATACACTGGGGATAATAAAAGGACCTACCTCAGTTAGTTTTCAGGAATGAGTTGATATAGAAGGAACCATAGCATGGTAAGTACTAAGTGCATGCCGTAAGTGTCCAGTCAGTGGTAACTGCCATTACTACTACTACTGTTGATGTTTTTATTACTGTTGTTCCTGACTGTGATGGGCAGATTTTTTCCCCCCTCTGTGAGCCTTATTTTCCTTCTCTGTAACATGAGGAAGTTGGCCCATTTCTCTAAGGTTGGCCCATTTCTTTTAAGAGGATATATTTTTTCCATTTATTCACTGTAGTCCTTGGACCTGTGCTACTCCCAGAGCCAGCTGGGAGCCCAGTTCTGGCTACCTGCAGATTCTACCTGCAGAGCCAGCGGGGAGTTGGAGCAGGAAGAAGGGAGACTATAGGAATTAGGACAAACTAATGGATGATGGCCTTAGGAAGAAAATGGCAGGGAAGCCAAAGATAATATTGCTCAGTGGCTTTTTTGAGACCTATACTCCCACCCCAATATTCTTTCCTAGTAGAACCAAGGACTCCTGGGCTCCTTCTGCCTCTCACCCCAGGGGCTTCACAGCTTATACCTACTCCCACCTAAGTACAAATTAACTTAGCTCTCCATCTCATCTGAGTAATCCAAGCAAAAGGAGCCTTGGTAGTGCTATAGGATAAGAACTGGACTGCTAACTGCAAGGTCTGCAGTTCAAACCCACCAGCTACTCTGCAGGAGAAACATGAGGTTTTTCACTCTCATAGAGAGGTACAGCCTCATAAATCCTGTATAGAGTCACTATGAGTTGGGCTCGACTGGATGGAAGTGTTTTGGTGAGAATTAAAGCAGGTGAATGGGTAGACTGCCATGGGATCTCTGTATCATGAACATTATTACTGAACCAGAAAACATGTCGCACATGACAGTTACAGAACCTTGGACATATTATCAAACCTTTTGAATATTATTTTTCTCATATGTAAAATGGGAATAGAAATATCTACCCCCAACAAGATGGATTGGCACAGTGGCAGCAGCATTGGGCTGAAAAGGAACAAGAATTCATTAAGTCGGTGTAGGATTGGCCTGTGTTTCATGCTGTTGTGCATAAGAGTCTCTGTGAGTTGGAACCAGCTCAATGACACCTAGCAACGACAGCATCCAACTACTTCACACAGTTGACCTGAAAATAAAATAACAGATCATACAAGTGAAAACAGTTGCTTACAGTTGCTGAGCCCTAAATGTGGACTCCTGGTGTGGCACTATAGGATAAGCCCTGAACTACAAACCGCAGGTCAGTGGTGCAAACCTAACAGCTGCTCCTCAGAAACCCTATACAAGGTCGCTATGAGTCAGAACCGACTGGATGACACTTAACAACAACAACAACAACAGATGTGTCAAAAGGAACCCTGGTGGCACAGTGGGTTAAGTGCTTGACTGTTAATAAAAGGCTGGTGTCTTGGTATATACTGTAAAGGTGTATAGCCTCAGCAACCTGATGAAGCAGTTCTACTCTGTCCTAAAGAAAATGAGTCAGAATTGGCTCAGTGGTAGTGGGTTTTGATTTTTTGGTTGTTTGATCTTTACAGAAGCAGACAGCCTCATCTTTCTCCTGTGACGTAGCTGGTGGGTTCAAACTGCTGACCTTTTGGTTCCTTAAATATTACAACCTTGTGAACTCTATGAGGTAGTTCTACTGTGACTCTAAGGTCACTATAAGTTGACATCAACTTGACAGCTATGGATTTCTGGGTTTGCTTTTTTTTTTTTTTAAGAGAGTATGAACTAGCAGAGCATGATGGGAAGCAAGATGGCAGTTCTGGCTACCTGCAGATTCTGGCTAACTGTAGTGGGTTCCTTCAAATGTCTGAGCCTCTGCCGCTCTTCTGTGGGATGTGATCTCAATGCCCAGCCAGCACATCTTGTATGGATGTTTCACTGACTGTTAATTCATAGTTAATTCATCCCATAGTTAATTCATCACCATTTTTGTTCCTGTTTAGATCTTTATCCATTTGTTTTTGTTTTTCAGTTGTCTATAAAAAGAATACATTTTAAAAATATAGAGGACATTATTTAAACATACGGTTTGGAATCATTTTAGAGCAAACAATGTAATTGTAAGTTTGTAAATATAAAGCTGCCTTTATTTCATGCATATTTAAATCATATCATTTGTACCATCAGTGACCAAGTACCATATACACTCAGGACACTGTTTATAGGGCAGTGGATGACCGAGGAGACTGGCAAGGAGAAGATACAATTAGGAGCTAGGATAAAACTATAATTGACATCAGAATAATCAGAATTTGATTATAGATGTCTCTTTGATTACACAACAGTTTCTGTTAAGAGATTTCATCGTGTTCTAAAACAAAAAATAATAATAGTATATGTTTTTATTATTACATATAATGTTCTTTGTGGTATACAAAGAATTTTAATTCACCTCTCTTAGGCCTCATTCACAACAATCCTAGAAGGTGGGGTTTACTAACCAGGTTATATGGATAAGAAAATAAGCCTAGAGAAATGATAGGCACACAGTTATTCCGAGGTTAGGCTGGAATGCAAACTTAAGACATCTGGATCTAAGATCATGTCTCCTTCAACTGTGTCTTTGTTGGCCCCTAGGAATTTGGAAGCATTTCCAGAGAGTAATGGGTTAAGCATTGACTAAATTGCTATCCTGAAAGCCAGCTTCCATGGACTTGCAGATAAAATGTATAATCTTTACATTTGCAGGAAACATAAGCAAAAATTGTACAAGTGATGGCTGGTCTGAGATGTTTCCAGATTTCATTAACGCATGTGGCTATAATGACCTTGGGGATGAAAGCAAGGTAAGAGCTTC